CCCCAAAACCCCAAAACCCCAAAACCCCATGGCGACCTAAGCCAGGTGAATCTAGATTAATTTGTTCTAAAATTGTTAACCCATTCTGGTCTCAGGGAGTATGGGTGGAGGGATTCCTAGGTTTTAGTAGAAGGGGTACCTGTTATAGGGGTCTGGATTATGGCAGGGTTCGAGGGAGGAATGCCTAGGGTTGGCTGCATGGTGCAGTTTGGGTCGTTGATAGTGCTGGAAGGAGTTAGGGACAGCTTACTTTGGATTGATGGTTGGGTCTGCGTATATTATTGGAGGTTGGATTATGGGATCGTTGGAAGCTATTTTTGGAGAGGGTTACTTACGGATGAGGTATACATTTTGGACAGGAGCAGGCCGTGTAATGGGAGGTTGTTGTATTGGAACAGGGGCTTGAATTGGTTCATAAAAGACTTCAGGTTGAGGGTTGTTTTGAATTGTTGCAACAGCCCTATTATTTTCATTTTCTTGGTAATCCATAATTCTATGAGCATTTTTTGCATTTCAGTATCGTACTGATAATAGGATTCCGACAATAATAATGAAGCAAAACAAACTTCCCATAACTATTCCTATTACAGCTCCAGAACCTAAGTTTCTATATAATAATTTCATGTTAAAATTACGTGGTTGTCTTTTGTGCTTTATAGTCAATGTCAATCCTATTAGAGCTTGAAGTAGGCTGAACAACTATATACACTGAAGAATTTCTAGCCAAAGTGACTGATTTAGAACTCCCACTTTCCATAGAACCTTTCTTATCATAATCATAATCCCTAGAGCTTGTGAAGATTGTAATATCAGCATTAACAGCGGAGACTAGACAAGATTATGAATTGTTTCAGACAGACTTACTGACATCAATCTTAAGACTGTTGGCAAAGGAAGACTTTGACGTTATGTTGTAGACACATACAACGTCTGATGGCAGGAAGTTCTCTGAGATACTTGATTTGCTACCTGTGTAGCTCACTGTTCGATTTAGAGTTCCACAATCTGAGGAAAAGGAAGGACATAAGATATATCCTCCATTTGTATTAGAGCCAGCTGTCCCATCAATCTTTGGATCATTGGATCATACAAATATATCTCCTCCATCTCAGTAATCATAATTATCGCTGACGGAACATCACTCTCCAATACCTTCAATTCCTCTGAGGACGCACCATTTTTGGCTGCTGTTTTCAAGGCAAGATCTACAATCAGAGGAATATATTGACAAAAGATATCTTTCTGGATCAATCTGCCATGAGGGTCATACTATGAGTAGTAAAGCTCACATCAACATCTTTCCACTCATTTACATAAAATAATATTAATATCCCATAATAACCGGAGTGTAAGGGGTTTTGGGGTTTTGGGGTTTTGGGG